GAGAGAGTTGAAAACCTATCGTCTCAGGCTGAGCAATCAAAGCGGCTGGAGAGATCTGCGTCTGAGTCTCTGGAGTCTGTCATGAAACAGCTCGAAGGGAGTAACGACTCGCTGCATGAGGCTGAAGCCGAAATCGCGGCCCTCAAGGAGAAAATCGGCTTGCTTGAAATTTCGATCCGGAGCCAGAAGAAGGATCTCGAGGAAGTTGGGCACTGTTTTGAAGAGGCTAAAGCTGAAGCCTCAGAGATGGGGAAAGAAGTCGAGTCTCTCAAGTCGGAGCTCGAGATGGTCAAGGAAGAAAAAAACCAGTCTTTGAACAATGAGAAGCTTGCAGCTGCCAGTGTCATGACTCTACTGGAGGATAAGAACAAGCTTATCAACGAGCTGGGAATTTCTAGAGATGAGGAGGAGAAAAGCAAGAAGGCATTGGAAAGCCTAGCCTCGGCCTTGCACGAAGTTTCTTCAGAGGCACGGGACGCCAAGGAGAAGCTTTTGTCGATCCAAGTTGAGCAGGAAAACTATGAATCACAGATAGAAGATCTGAAGCTGGTCCTGAAGGCAACAAATGAGAAATACGAGAGCATGCTGGAAGAGGCAAGACTTGAAATTGAAGACCTGACGGGCTCCATCCAGGATTTGAGGCGCAATCACGAGAGCTCGAAGGCTGAGTGGGAGCAGAAGGAGCTTCACCTGACAAATACCGTAAAAAAGTCCGGAGAAGAGAAGTCATCCATGGAGAACGAGATCAACAGGCTCATCAATTTACTTAGAGCGTCTGAGGAACAGGTTAGTGCAGCAAGGGATGAGTGTGTCAGCTGGAAGAATTCGTTGAAAGAAGCCGAGTCGGAGGCTGTGTACCTAAAAGAAGTCCTGGGTGAGGCAAAGGCCGAGAGCATGAAACTGAAAGAGGGTTTGATGGACAGAGAGAATGAACTGCAGAACGTCCTTCATGAGAATGAGGAGCTGATGAAAAGAGAAGCTGCTTCCTTGGAGAAGGTCAAGGAGTTATCTAAGCAGCTTGAAGAAGCTCTTTTGGCTAACGATAGTAAGAAAAGGCAAGAAGAGGGAAATGGCGAACTGACGGATAGTGAGAAGGACTACCACATGCTTCCGGAAGTTGTGGAGTATTCCGAGCAAAATGGGACTATGGGCAACGTGAAGCCCAAGGTGGTAGAGGAGGAGAAGACGCTAGCTGATGATGAAAAATCTATTCACGAAGTGGAAAATTCAAACAGCAAAATTAAGAACGAGAATGAAAAGGAAACTTCTGATTCTGCAGAAGTTGATTTCAAGATGTGGGAAAGCTGCAAGATTGAGGAAAAGGATTTCTCCCCCGAGCATGAATCGTTCGAAGAGGACGAAATCGAGTCCAAAGCTGATGGGGCAGAACGCTTTGATCAGGTGAATAATGGGACAAATGAGAATGTCGACAATGGTGGGAACTCGCCCTCCAAGGAGCAGCAGAGTAGTAGTCAGAAGAAGAAGAAGCCTTTGCTCCGCAAGTTTGGGAATCTACTGAAGAAGAAAGGCACGACCACTCAGAAGTAAATCTACTGGCTTTTACATGTTTTTATCGATGCTTGGCTGATTTTTTTATTTCTACACGTGGTCTGAACACGAAAGATTTGAGTATCATGTTTAGATTATTATTATTATTATTAATTTTTTTTTTTCTTCCCCTAAGTTTCTTACCATGTGATTAGCCATGAGTTCTCTTGTGAGTTTTATGTTGTAAAACTTTGTGTTTGTTTATCTTGGTTTCTTGCTTTCGTTGATGATGAGAATACCTTGTCTTTTAAAATGTTCTTGATATGCTTGTTGGATGGATGTTTTGTGAACATAAATTGACATTGGTTTGTTGTGTTATTATGCTATTATTTTGTCTTTCTTGACTTTGATTTATATGCTCTGTTACATGATTTGGTTGAGCTATTTCACGATGCCACGGTTGTTTAATTACTACGAAATCGTGGAAGTTGCAAAAGGGCACACACACACACACAAACACCAAACTACCAGCATTTGTTTTTTTCTTTTTTTTTTTTTTTTTCTGGTGACATTCAAATTTCAAACCATGTTTTTTACGCCTGACCTGCATAAAAAAGTGAAAGTTGACCTCAATTGGATATAAAATTTCTTTTAAAAAATTATGGGGGATTGGATATAAATAAAATTAGTTTTGATTGGATGTATTAGTTAAATTGATTGGATGTATTAGTTAAATTGAGCCAATTTAGAATAAAGTTGATTGAATGAAGCATTGTGATATTTTTAAATTTGTATAACAATAATATTTAAAATGAATGATTAAAGTTGATGTGATTTACTAGCATGAGAGAAGTTATTGAAATTATATGTGAGGATGTTATGTGATAGTGAATTTAAGATGATGTGATATGTGAAGATGATTGATTGATATTATATAACTATATAGATAATATTGGGGAGAGTTGAGTTGGATTTCAAAATCAGTTTTAGGTTGTAGCTAATCGCACCCTTTGTATCCTCGAAAAATGGAGGTGGTTGTATTTGGATATAAACGGGATGAATAATAATTAGTGTAAGAATTAATAATTTTTAAAAGGAAATTATTGTGACAAAAAATATAATATTTAATTATGATGCGATAATGAAATAAGAAAAATATTAATTAATAGATATAAATATGTGAATGAATGAACATTAAATTTTATAAATACGTGTGATAAAAACTAACTTTTAGTATAATATGTGTTGGGAAAAAGTCAGCGAAATATAGCGAAAATGCGAATATAGTGAATAAATTTATATATATTGAAAGAGATAGATGTTTATTTTAAAAGTGAAAAAATGACATTTTATTTAAAAATGGCTATCAACAGTTTTTGGTATCACGTTTCCACAATAAATTAGAAAAGTGAAGTTAGTCATTTATATCAATAATCCAAGTCGAATATTTGCAGTATTTTAATATTTTACATATGAAATCATATGTTAATTAAAGGTTATGTTTCACCTTTCTCATTAAAAAACTAAAATAATGATAAAAATAAATAAATTAAGAGTTAAATAATGATAAATGTTGATATAAGCAAAAATTTATATATATATATATATATCTATACTTATATTAAAAGCCATACTATTTACCAAAAATAGTAGCAAGAAAAGTCAACTCACATTTAATGCATACTTTATTTAGAAATTTTTTACTTTATGCATTAATTGTTTGCATATATACATTTTCTATTCAAATATGATAAAAAAGATTTTTTCCTTAAATAATTTTATTAACTTCTGCAATGATTTTACTGATATATATTATAATTCATATTTGTCGATAATATTTTAATTTTTATTTGAGTATATAAAAAACAAATATTTTTTTTTTAAATTAATATTTTATTTATCATTTAAGAGATAATGATCACATCATTAAATGATATTACTGATGGCTAGATAATAAATTAAAATACATTAATTATTATTTAAAATTTTGGCATGTTATTTATTTGTCTCTATACTTATTATATAAGGTATCCTATTTACCAAATTTAGTAGATTGAAAAGTCAATGTAATTAATGCATTGCTATTTCTATCCAAATTTTATTTAATTATTTTATTTATTTGTCTTATATCCCATAAAATCAGTTTAAGAAAAAAAAAATCCCATAATATCTCACAAAAAAAAGATGTAAATTCTTTACTAATATAAAAAGGCTTTATTTATTTGTCTTATTCCATATTAATATTGATTTTGTCAAATAAATCTCATAAAATCAGTGAAGTCAAAATTTGTACGTAAAGTCCATCTATCAAAAAAAAAAGTCAAATTCAGAATTACTTATCTAATTCCTTCTTTTTCTTATCTAATTCCTTCTTTTTCTTATCTAATTTTTTTATTATCTAATTGTATGAAAATCTGTTCTGATTTTGTTCAATCCTCTAATTGTATTTGTATTATATTCCATAAAATCGGTTTAACAAAAAAAATCACATAACATCCGATAAGTAAAAAAACAAAGTACGTAAAATCTTTACTAAAATAAAAAAACTTTATTTATTATCTAATTTATTATCAATTGTATAGAAATATGTTCTGATTTTATGGTACGTATTACAAATTGTGCACCCGTATTCAGGAGCTACTTAACGGGCAAGCTCTGTAGAAATGACTCATTTAGTGCTTCTGTCTCGTGCATACCGTATGTATTTTATTATACATACTAGAAAATTGTGCACCCGTGCATCGCACGGGCTGTACTAATAAATGACCTTAAAATTGTGCACAAAAAAATCCCATAACATCTGATAAGTAAAAAAACAAAGTACGTATAATCTTTACTAAAATAAAAAAGCTTTATTTATTATCTAATTTATTATCAATTGTATGGAAATCTGTTCTGATTTTATGGTACGTACTACAAATTGTGCATCCGTGTTCAGGAGCTACTTAACAGGCAAGCTTTGTGGAAATGACTCATTTAGTGCTTCTGTCCCGTGCATACCGTATGTATTTTATTACACATCCTATAAAATTGTGCACCCGTGCATCGCACGAGCTCTGTACTAATAAATGACCTTAAATTTGTACACCCCGTGCATGACCCATGTTCACATTTTGGCATATATTACAGGTCACATACTATATATATCCTGTACATTTTTTTTATTCATTTATATAACTATAAGAATGGATAAATGACTTTAAAATTGTGCACCCCGTGCATCGCACGGGTTCTGTACTAGTATATATAAAGATTTACCATTTTTTAAAAATGGCAAGTCAAACCCTTAGTCAAACTCAAAATGCATTTATTTCTTTCTATTAATAGTAAAGATATTATCTGCTTTTAATTGATGCATTAAATGTGGTGAAATAATACCATTAAATTCGAAAGTTTGAACCCAAATTTTGACCCCGATTAAATATGGTGAAATAATCCCATCATGAAAGACTTGTAAAAAATTGGTCTAACAAAATTCATCCCATAAAAAATCTCTACAAATATTGAGTTGCGGATTAATT